ACTTCTTGGGATTTTCTGAGGCGCTGGTGTTCAGGAATTTGGTGGTGTATTCACTGTGGGCTCTCTCCAACTCCCTTTTCACGGTCTTCTCCATCTCTTTAAATTTTATCCAGTCCCCTGCCTTCTTTGTTTTCTTTGTCCGTGTGTATCTTCTCTTCTTCTGGCGACATAGCCTCTTAATCTCTGGCGTGATCCATGGTAAGTTCCATCTGGATGTTATCCTCTTCATGGGGATGTGTTTTGCCGTGGAGGTGTTAAGGGCGGTTTTGAAGTCTGTCCAGAGTTCTTCAGTGTTTTTCCTGGTGGGATCGCTTTGTAGGAGGATGTTGGTGTAAAGGTTCATGTCCTCTCTTATTCCGTCCATGTTAGCTTTCCTGTATTGGTACACCTTTCTCTCTGGTCTTCGCTGTCTCTGGGCGTTGGTGTTGAGTTCGGCAATGATGATGTCATGGTCACTAATTCCGGGGTGTACTTCAACTTCGCCCAGTAGATCTGGGTTTGTTGTGAGAATGAGATCTAGTATGTTGTTGTTTCTGGTAGGTGTATTACACATCTGGTGAAGACAGTTGTTGTTTACGAGTTCTGTGGCCTGTTGGTTGAGTACATTTGAGTACTGTGGTCTTTCACGTATGCTGGTGTCTGTCCAATTAATGTCCGGAAGGTTGAAGTCTCCAGCAACTATGATGTTTGGTAGCGATTGCCTATTTGTCAGCCTCGATAGCGATGTGTATAGTTCTTGTAGTGGTATGGGGTCGTCGTGTGATGGACGGCGATAAAAAGAGTCAATGTACAGGGGTTGTTGCTTCCATAATTGTAGTCGTACCCATGTCACTTCACAGTTGGTGTCAAGGTCCACTTCTGGTGTGGTGACCAGATCATGGGATACCACCACAAAGTCTCCTCCTTCTCCCTTCTTGTTGTCCTTTCTGTAGACCTCCCAGTTGTCTGTCGGGAAAATTTCCTCACTGCTGTAGGTAGGGTCCAGCTTGGATTCACAGCCGCATATAATATCTGGCTTATGTTCCTCAAGGAGTTGTTCAAACAGTGCTTGCTTGTGTACCTTGATACAGTTGGCCGAGTAGTGAGCTATTAAGCTCATGTTGTCCTTATTCGTAATCGATCTTTGCCATACATTCAATAACAGCAGATACACTGCGCTTGCAGCTGATGGTTGTACAAGTCGTTTCAGGACATATACAATTTTCACTTGCAAATTACATTTCGATGCCGTTTCATATGAAGTCCTGTAAATACTCAAGTATGGTTTTAGTCTGTGACCTGTACCACGACCTACCCGTGCTTGGGATAATTAGTGTTACCACCTTATCTAAAAAAAGAATACAAACTAATAAAAATGAACATTATTCTTTCAGGTATGGTAACATATTGAAAGTACCTACGGTAAGAACGGAACGGTTTGGACGGAACAGCTTCTCATACCTCGCGGCGAAACTATGGCAAGATTTTCCGGCTGAGGCAAGAAATGCTGTGGATGTTGCCAGTTTCAAGGCATGTATGGGAAGCTGGAACGGTCAAACCTGTAGAAGCGCTATGTGTAAATCCGTTACGTCTTAACTATGTGAATATTTTTAAATGTTTTGCATGCCCGTTTTAAGTTACATCTGTGATTATAGTATGAAGCTAGCTGCTGCTCCTGCTTTTGTGCTTTATTATGATTAGCTTGTGTACTGTAGTATGTTTTATATGTATCTTAAAAAAATTAAGTTTTAAAATTTCTGTGATATATTATCAGCCTGTGATATGCTGTGATTATGTTGAATATATGACCTTTTATAAGAAAATAATAATAACAAATCCTGAGTTACTGGGGTGCAGGTCCAGCATACCATTCTGGTACATGTAGGGGGCTGGCTCTCCAACCCTTGGTGTCAACCATGTACCACTGGGAAATCTTTTCTCAAGTTCTTGTATATCTTTCCTTCATCTCAAATCAAATTATAAGCAAATGTGATCAAATAATAAATTAAATTCAAAATGTGATAAATGTAACTTGCCAATTTTACCGCATTAATATTATTATTATTCTTATTTATTTAAAATCAAATGTTTTATTGGATGCTTCCTCTCTATTTGTATCTTTTACAGCACGAACACATCTTGTTTAATTAATGAAACCTTGTTTTATGTATGTTTTATTTGTTATGTCAATTGTAAAAGCTCACTAAACGAGCTTGTGTTTATCTTTGTAATCATATCGACGATAAATAAAATTTACTTGACTTGACTTGAGTTGCTTTTACCTGATTGACAGGTTGTTGTTACCTGGTGAAACTAATCTCATGCCGATAATTTTACATTCAATCTTTTGTTATCGATAGGTTCTTTGTTTGATATCGTAATAACGTGTTTTTATTTCACCTTATTCCCCATTATTGACGAATGAGTTAACAGTCATTTTGACAATATTTTAAGCATTATTTAAGTTCAATTTCATTGAAGTGTGGTGAATTTTGGGGAGAGTTATATTTATCTCCCTTAGATCGTTAAACGCGCCAACAACCTCGCTGTGACGTATTAGCGCGCGCGGTCTCTTAATATCCTGACTTCATACAGACAACACGTAAGTGATTTTCCTCCGCCTATTCTTATAGATTTTGGGACATGAGAGCAGTCCTAACTACATGTTATGACGGTGTGTAATAACACACACCAAATTCACGACAGAAGTAGTAAAATCGATAAACACGTGGACTATTTCCGGGACGTTTTACACTCCTGTTACAGGAGTCTACTCCCGTACTTGGGCGGACAAGTCCAGACCCAAGAAGGAAGAAGAAGAAGAATATAATGAAAAATTATTGTCCAAATACATTTCAATTGTCTAGTACTTACACGTACAGACACATGCACAAATATACATTTTTTTTGCAACGGTAAATTCATCACACGAACATAACCAAATGTAATAATTACCCAGAAGAGGCATATTCACATATTCCATCTGCCTATTTGAAATTGAATCCCTGTTCAATAAACTACACAACAACCAATTTTGGTTTATTTTTGACTGGGAAATCACATAGGCTAAATACAGATGCAGGTCGATACAAAGATGAATGGGGCCAACGAAAATGTAATAGGTCACTGCATTACAAGAATACTTACGTCAGTTTGTATTTATGAACATAACCGTTTTATGCCGAAAACAATATTGATATATATGTTTAAAAAGAATGAATAACTTAGCAGTAGAGTTAAATTGAGAGCTTCTTTTGCTTGGCAGTTCAGACCTTTCTGTTGATCTTAACATTTATTATGTTTAGACATGTGCATCATTTCATCAAATCTGTGTATTTTTTACTATGGATACTACATCGCCTTATTCGAATTAAGTTTTGCTATATGTCTTATATCTAATCATCTTCACGATTTTTGACGATGCACGTGCATATTTTTACAATACTTTTATTATACATTTATACCTTTAGGGGACCCCAATGAAAATAAGTTTTCAATGGCAATGATGGGCTATCCCAGGGTAAAGCAAAATAGGTAAGTTATACACATATATATCAACTCTGTAAATTAACTACTTATATCACGGACGTAGATAATCTAATTCCGAACTTATATGAAGTTGTTTTGTTATTTATTACCCCTTTGAGAAAAATCTAGGAATCTGATTGGTTAAAAACTACAGTGTACCAA